AGACGATCCTAATTAAATATCATAATAGACGTCAAATATCAAAATAGACGATCATAATCAAAAAATGATAGTAAAATATCATAGTATAAGATGTGAAGGCAAATCTACTAGTTTATTGTTTTCTATTATAGAAAAATAATAGAAAAATTATAGGAAAACAAGTTAAAAAAAAAAAAATAAAGGAGAATTTTATGATTATAGGTTCTGATTTCTTTTTGAAGGTACTCAATTCTGTTGTTGTAGTCGGACTGTATTATGGATTTCTTACCACATTTTCAATAAGGTCCTCTTATTTCTTTTTTTGTGCGAACTATGGTTATGGAAAAAGAACCAAATACAAATAAGAAGGTAGCAGCAACCACTGGTTTTTTTATGGGACAGCTCATAAGATTCGTATCCATCTATTATGCGCCCCTTTATCTAGCTTTGGGTAGACCTCATACAATAACTGTCCTTGCTTTACCTTATCTTTTGATTCAGCTTTTCTTGAACACTGAAAAAAAAATTTTTGCTTATGGATCTAATAACCAAAATTCAATCCGTGATCTAGAGAATATCTTTGTATTCCTCAATCATCTTATTTTTTCAGTTGCTTAACATTTGTATTTTACCAAGTTCAACGTTAGCCCGATTAGTAAGCATTTATCTGTTTCGCTGTAACAATAAGATGTTGTTTGTAATAAGCAGTTTTTTTGCTTGGGGAATTGGACAAATTTTAGTCATCAATTGCTTGGAATTTTTAGTAGTCTGGATACAGAAAAATTTAGTAATCTGGATACATAAAAATAATGTTATTAGAAAGTACCTAGTCAGAAATTCTATCTTTTTTATTTTACTAAATTGTAGTTTTGGAAGTATAGTATGTATTCTAAGTATTCAGTCTTTAGGCAGAACACCCTTACCTATTCCTACTCAGAAATTTAGTGAGGTCTCAAAAATAGAACAAAGGGAAAAGGAAAGGTTGCAAAAGGAGGAAGAAAAAGACGTAGAAAAAAAAAAGAAATCCACTGAAGAAGATCCTTCCCTTTTTTCCGAAGAAAAGGGTATTTTGGAAAAAGAATTGGACTTGAAAGTAAACGAACCGGACTTGGAAGGATCTGATTCTGAATTGGAAATCCTTGAAAAATATGAAAATAAAGAACATATTGTGGCTCTTCTTTTTGATTATAAAAGATGGACTCGGCCATTTCGCTACATAAAAAAATAATAGACTTGAACAAGCGGGTAAGAAACGAAATGGCACAATATTTCTTTGACATACATAAAAGTGATGGAAAAGATAGAATATCTTTTACCCATCCGATAAGTTTATCAACGTTTTTTCAAATAATCAAAAAAAAGATACCCCTTTTATCATTAGAAAAAGATATTTCTAATAAATTGGACAATTTTTGGGTTTCTAGAAACAAACAAAAATTAAATTCTATAAAAATTGATTTGTTAAATCGAATTAAAAATCTTGACAAACCAGTATCAGTCCCAATACTAGAAATTGAAACAACCAAAACGCGATTATGTATACACAATGATGAGACTAGAAAAGAATACTTACCAGAAGAGTATGATCCCTTGTTAAATGGGGCCTTCCCGCGGAAGACTAAAAAAAGATATAACGTTGATAAACGAGACTTCGATCAAAAAGTTGAGAGAGAAGGTTATGCTAAATAGACTTCATGCTTTATTGTTGATGTCTCCTTTTGAAAAAAAAGGAAAAAAAACCATTACAAGTTGGTGAGTTCTCAACTTTATCATCGAGTTTTTAACGGATTCAGAACAACTAACAAAATTTTTAGTAAATGTAATTGAGACAGACGATAAAAAATATTCTGCAATAGAAAAAATAGGTAAAGAAGAGATTGGTAAAAAAGTCCCCGGATGGTCATACAAATTAATAACTGAATTGGAACAAATATCGTATTTTAGAAATCCACCAGATGATCATGATATTCGTTCAAGAAAAGGGATAAGTGTATTAATTTTTGAAGAGCCTAAGACTCTCAAAGATAAGACTACAAACAAAGATAAGAATACAAAAGAGACAAATATTCAAGCTATAAAATCCGACAATGATGAGAAAGATAAAAATATGAAAAAGAAAAAGGAAGATGAGGATAATAAGCTTTATTTGTTACGATATCCGCACCAATCTGATTTTCGCCAAGGCTTAATAAAAGACTCTATGCGAACTCAAAGACGTAAAATAGTTATTGAGGGACTTTTTAAAGCAAATGCGCATTCCCCTCTCTTTTTTGACAGGATGAGGAAAAAAAACCTTTTTTTCTATACCATACCTGGCTCAACTGAAACGACTTTTTATAAAATGGTCATCCAGAAACGAGTTCGGTATTTTAGAGTCTACAGAGGAAAAAAAAACAATAATAAAAAGAGAAACCAAAAAGGAAAAGAAACGACGAGAGGAAATAGAACGGTTAGAGATAGGGGAAGCCTGGGAAACTTTCCCATATACCCAAATAATAAGAGGTTTGTTATTAATAACCCAATCAATTCTGAGAAAAAAAATTCTATTACCTTCATTCATAATCGGGAAAAATATAGGGCGTATGCTACTATTTCAAACTCCTGAATGGTCTGAAGATTTAAAGGGATGGAATAAAGAAACGCATGTGAAGTGTACTTATAATGGTATTCCGTTAGCTGACAAAAAATTTCCGGAAAATTGGTTGACAGAAGGTATTCAAATCAAAATTTTATTTCCTTTCTGTCTAAAACCTTGGCACGAATATAAATCACTAACTTCTCGTGATGACTTTTGTTTTTTAACAGTTTGGGGAAGGGAAACAGAACACCCTTTTGGTCATCCACGACAAACACCTTCGTTTTTCGAGCCTGTTTTTAAGGAACTTTACAAATTTGTAAAAGTAAAAATCAAATTTTTAAAAAAGTTTTCAAAAAAAAAAACAAGTTCAAACGAAAAAAGAACAATACACCCGAGTTTAATAAAAAAAGAAAAAGATGATCAAATAAATAACCAGATAATGAATCAACCCTTGAGTAAAATTGAAAAAATTACAGATTGGAAAAATTATTCACCGATAGACAAAATACAGGCTATTACTCATAGGACAAATACAATTAAAAAAAAACTAGAAAGAATTACGGAAGATAAGAAAAGGCTGACTCTAGAACTAGATATGAGCCCTTACAAAAAAAGTTCGAGATTAGCCTTGTCAAAAAATTTTTGTCAAATGTTAAAAATAAAAAAAAATAGATTAAGATATAAATTTCATTATTTTATAAAATTATTGATTCAAAGAATATCTAACTATATTTTTTTATATACTATATCTATTTGCCAAATGACTGAAAAACTCTTTGTGGAATCAACAAAAATGAACTCTCTTTCAAATATAAAAACGCATAATAATAAGCGTTATAAGGAAAAGCCAGAGAATTTTGGTGATTTATCTAACTTGTCACAAGCATATGTATTGTACAAAATATCACAAAGGAGTTTTTTGAACGTATCTAATTTGATGTCTGTTCTTCAACAAAATGGAACATCTTTCTTGATTGAAAAGAATTTCTTTATTAAAAAAAAAATAAAAGACTCATTTCATAAACAAGGAATACTTCAATCTGAAGGAATAAAAAAAGAACTTAAGCGGTCTAGAACGAGTCAATGGAAATTTTGGTTAAGAGGGAATTCTCAATACGATTTATCTCCTAATTTCTGGTCTGCCTTAAGATCACAAAAACAAAAATGGAGAAATAGGGCGAATCGCTATCGTAGGTCTAAACAAAAAGATTTACACAAAAGGAATTCCAGTAGAAAATTAAAATTAAATAATTACAGGAAACAAAAGGATGCTAACTCAGTATTTAATAAAAAAAAAAAAGATAATTTTAAAAAATGCTGTCAATATGATCTTTTAGCATATCAATACATTCAGTATGAAAAAAATAGTGGACCCCCTCCAGGAGCTAAACGGGAAACGATTTCTTATCATTACAAGATGTCACAAAACAACTTGTTTGCGATAACGAAAAATCTTCCTATCACTAGTTTCAGAGAAAAAATAGAAAGGGTCAATATCCCCTATACAGACAAAAATTTAGAGAGAGAAAATATTTAAATTTGAAAAAGATTAATTTTTCTCTTGATAAAAAAGCGGATATTGAGTCCTGGATCACGGGTAATGATAACAATACTCAAAGTACTCCAATTTTCACTTATAATTATCAATTAATTGATAGAATGGAAGAGATTGTGAAAATTGAGCAAATTTTTAAAAATGAAAAAGATCCTTTTGCTCTTTTGATTCAGACAAATACCGAAGAAAGGAATCTAGTAAATTCTAAAAATTCTTTATTGGATTGGATGGGACTGAATGAAGCAATACTCGACCGTCCATTAACGGCTGAGGAACTTTCGGTCTTCCCAGAATTTCTGTGGTTTGTTAATATATATAAAATGAAACCATGGATTATACCAAGCCAATCACTTATTTCTAATTTGAATCTCAATGATGAAATGACGAATCAAAAGATCGGTAAAATTAAGAATAAAAACAAAGATAAAAAGGATAAAAAGAAAACTGAGGGTGAAACCAAAGGTAAAACTGAGAGTAAAAAAAAAGATAAAGCCGAGGGTCAAACCAAAGGGGAAACTAAAGGTGAAACCAAAGGTGAAACCAAAGGTGAAACCAAAGGTGAAACCAAAGGGAAAACTGAAGGTGAAACCAAAGGTGAAACTGAAGGGGAAACCCAGGGGGAAACTGAAGGGGAAACTGAAGGTGAAAAGAAAAGTCAAACTGAGATAGAACTAGAGTTATTCCTGAAAAATTATTTATTTTTTCAATTTAGAGAGGATGAGGATGTTACTTTTAATCAAGGCCTTTTCCAAGATCTCCAGATCTATTGTCTCTTGCTTAGAATGCTAAATCGAAAAAAAATGATGCTATCATGGATTCAAAGGGAAAAGTTAAATTTGGGTCTAATGCCACAGATGAATCAGGAAGAGAGTATTCAAGATTCAAAAAATTCAAAAAGAAATGTTCCAGATTCAAAACAGAGTGTTCCAGATTCAAAACAGAGTGTTCCAGATTCAAAAAATTCAAAAAGAAATGTTCGAGATTCAAAACAGAGTGTTGCGGATTCAAAAGAGAGTGTTCCAGAATTTTTAAAAGGACGGGATTTTTGGTTGACCCCCTTCCGCTGTCTATCAAACCAAACGGAGAATTTCTTATGTATCAAACCATAGTTCTTTCATTGGTTCATAAGAGTAAAGAAATTCTTAATCAAAAATACGTAAAACAACGAATAATTCGCGCTGAAGAGAACAATAATTGTGATCCGCTTCTTATTGAAAATATTTTATCATCTAGGCGTCGTAGAGAATTAAGAACTCTAATTTGTTTCAATTCAAACAAATGGAATGGCGTGGATGCAAATTCTCTAGTTTCCAACAAAAATCAAGTTTGGGAGGAAAGTAACCCTCGGCATAAGGATCCGAATAAATTGATTGAATTTTTTCTTTGGCCTAATTATCGATTGGAAGATTTAGCTTGTATGAATCGTTATTGGTTTAATACTAATAATGGGAGTCGTTTCAGTATGTTAAGGATCCATATGTATTTACCATTGAAATTTAATTGGTGGAAATTTAATTGATAGTAGTACTATCTACCCTCTAGCAGGGTAGATGGTACCAGGTTAGATGAAAAGCAATGAATGGAAATATACCTTATTTTAATTTGTATCTAACTGAATCGAGGATACCATATATTTATTTAGATCTATATAGATACTTTCTCCCTCATCCAAAGAATATTAAGTTGAAATAATTCACTTTTATTTTATTAATGAACCCGAAAAGAGAGGGTTTTCTTTTGATTTGAATTGATAGACTTAGTTAGAAGAATTCTTTTTTAGCAATAAATGTCTTTCACATCCAGTGATAACCTGTAAATCATTTTAAATGGCAGTTCCAAAAAAACGTATTTCGAAAGCCAAAAAGCGTATTCGTAAGAACATTTGGAAAAGAAAGACTATTGAGGTAAGATTAAAAGCTCTTTCATTAGCAAAATCTCTTTTAACGGGTAAGTTTACAAGTTTTTTTTACAAAAAAAATAAAAAAACATTGGATTCATTTCTGTCAAGTTGATTTCTTGTATAATATTTCTTCTTTTTTCTTATCATTTTCTTTCTTTATTTTTCGTTAGTTCGTTTTAGTTACTAATCAATTATTTCATATCTATGAAATAAATCTATAACTTAATTATAAAAAATTATTTTAAATGCATATTATATATCAATGAAGGGAGTTCATTTAGTTTATGATAAAAAACTTATCTCTTTCGACTATTTATAAAAACCAAAACCAACAAAACAGAGGTTCCGTTGAATTTCAAATATGGAATTTCACCAATAGAATACACCGGCTTACTTCCCACTTGAAATTGCATAAAAAAGACTATTTATCTCAAAAAGGTTTACGTAAAATTTTGGGGAAACGACAACGACTTTTAGCTTATTTATCAAAAAAAAATACATTGCGCTATAAAGAATTAATTGATAAATTGGAGATTAGAGAGACAAAAACTCATTCATTTTGAAGTTGTATAGCTTTTAGAACCTATTTTATACGTAAATTTTAGAACTACAGTCTGGGTACTGAAACAATTACAAAAGAATAGCTCAGGGTAGTGAATAGAAAGACATCATGTCCTTTTGTCTATTGATTCTTACTGTATAAATTTGAAGGGATTTTTTATTTAAAACTTTAAAACGGCAGATTTAGTTAATTCAAAAAAGAATCCTTTTTTACCCTATTAGGTAGTTTGCGTAGTTATAAAAAAAATGATAATATTAAAACATAAAAATTGATAATAATTTACCAAAAAACATAAAATAATTTTTTTTTTATTTTTAAAACCAATCCAGAAATCTAGTGATTAGAATTCTTCTGAAAATTCATTGAGTCATATAGTATCTAAAAACCAAGTATCTTCTAATTTTATATTGCATAAAAATAATATTTGGAGGATACTATATCGATAATTCATAAAATTTATAAATTTATTCGTTCAATGGCACATTCTGTAAAGATTTATGATACATGTATAGGATGTACTCAATGTGTTCGAGCCTGCCCCACCGATGTTTTAGAAATGATACCATGGGACGGATGTAAGGCTAAACAAATTGCTTCTGCTCCGAGAACAGAAGATTGCGTAGGCTGTAAGAGGTGTGAATCCGCTTGCCCAACAGATTTCTTGAGTGTTCGAGTTTATTTATGGCATGAAACAACTCGCAGTATGGGTCTCGCTTATTGATCTGGTCCAGAAAAGTATATTTGAATTCATTCTATTTTTATTGAAAACCCGTGCTCTAAAATAAAAATATTTCATATTTTGTAGCACGGGTTTCATAAATTTTTAGCTTTTCACGAAGTAAAAAATTAATGTCTTTTTTTTTTATTTATTCCAAAGATTCAAATATTAAAGAATAAAATCTTTTTTATGTTCGCGAAAATGAACC